CCTTCACTTCCACCAGCACTTTCACTGGATAGAGGTCGCTTGGTAAAATATCTATCCAAAGAGCTTTGGCTTTGCCTACTTTTTAAAATGTTTCTAAAATTACTTAGGCAAATGTCATTACTCTGAGCAGCAATACAGCTAGTGTGAACCTTTTTGGGATGTTTCTTTTCAATAAAATCAGTCACTTTCTAATAATACCTCAAGATTTCCTTTATCGAGCAAGATCCTGCCACGACGAAGCAAACAAGCGGATTGAGACCAATGAACAGAAGTGAATAAAAAATGGCGCTGCAAACTAATGTAACGTCATAGGGTGAGTTTTTGTTCGTATCGTGGAGCAAAAATATGTTCGAATTTCATATCGTATCCTGAAAATTTCGTATGCTGGGGCGTTCCTATCCTGAGGTACCACTGTATAGAATGTAAACATATTTAAAATTTTTATAGTATACATAATATAAACAACTTAACAAACCCAGCTTTTGATTGAAGTTAGACAGCCTAATCATTAGACAGCCCAATAATTTGGAAGATTAAGTTGATAATTAGATACATAGTAATTTGTCTAGAGGTAGGTCTACCCAATATCTAGTTTGAAAAACAATCTATAAAAATTACAGAACATTTTTCATGTTAGATATTGAGTGGTATTGATAAAGGATGCTAATTACGCGTAATAATAACTTGATTTGAAATTTTTTGGGGGTGATAGAGTTAGATTTTTCTTATACAAAGATCTTGCTAACCTCAAAGTGTATTATTTTTCTTTGGTTTTTAACATTATAGCAAGTTTACTATAATGAATAGTGTACATTCTTCTAATACAGTGATTCCCAAATTTTTTTGATTCAACACTCCCTTTGTTCCATAAAGTTATACTTAACGCCCCCTAACCCATTTTCTCTTGTGTGAGAAAGGATTGGAAATATTCTTAGGAAAACTTTTCTATGAATCTCACACTTTGTTTTCAACATCTGGAAACAATTAAATGCAATGTTTCCTCTTATCAGTTTAACAGAGGAAAGGGAAAAGCTTTTAGTGACCCCAATTTTGCCTTTGGTCACCATTCAATATCCTGTCTCCAGCGCTCCCTAGATTTACTCATCGTCCACAAGAGGGCATTATTGCCTACTTTGAGAAACGCTGTTCTAATAACTATTCTGCAAACCAAAGCATACAGTTTATTTTCTCTTTGACTGTCACCATTTGAGATCAATAATGGGATCTGTAAATAAAATTAATTAATTCTACATTGATTAAAAGTTTTTTACATAGTGGTTTTAAGTTAAGCTTTAAGTATTATTTACTGTATAGCTGAACCTCTCCAGTTATTTAAGTATAAAACTGCACACAGACTGTCATTCTGTATAACTCTGTTGCACATATTGTGAACAAGAAGCTGATAATTATGAACTTTAACTACTGATGGACATTTCTATGATGATCAATATAATAAATATTTTCTATAAATAATTTCCTGACAATAAATACATATTAATTTAATATATAACTTCTTACAGCAAAAAAACCAGAAGGAGTTAGTTTTGTTGATGCTGCAGGATGTATTGGAGATGCTGTTAAAGCCTACACTGCTCTTCATTATCTTGGAAGAATGACTGGTGGTGATTCTGTCTTGATTATGGATGGAGCATCATCGTTTGGAAGCTTGTGTGTGCAATTAGCTTATCACTGGGGAGCTAAGGTAATAAAAATATAAAATCTTTAATTTTTAAAATTTATTAAATTTTGTACCAAACATTATGAAAATTTGTAAAAAAAAAAACCTCCAGCAACGAGTTGCTTAACTTTCCTGGCAACATTTGGTGGTGCTATCTGTTATGATATTTTATTTAAAAACAATTTATATTTTTAATTATTATGAAATGGCAAAGAGCTTAATTTTGAGTTTAGAGATGAGTTTTATAAAAAAAAAAAAATGTAAATGCTAATAACAAGTAAAATTGTAATAAAGTGTAACCCTACTGGAGATACAGTACACACAACCTCCTTTATCTCCCCCAACCCTTGATCATTAATCACCAAAATTTAATAGCATCAATCTTCCTAATAAACAAACATTCTTGCAAAATTTCAGAAATTTTTGACAAAAAGCACTGGAGTTAAGTTTCAAAGAGGGTGAACAAAATCATGTCCCCCACACAAACATCCATACATACAGAAAAAACCCCCAATTTTTTTTGCATTTCTCAGTTTCAAGGTCTCCTGAGTCCAAAAATGTAAAAATCTAGAGGACCATTTTTTTATCTATCTTCGTGCTTTTTCTCTGTTATATATAACAGCTGGAAAATAAAAAATTACAAAATATGAAGTTAGTATTGGCAAGCGCCAAATCTGACAGAGGACGCTGTTTTTGAGCCAAGATGGCTGCCGAAACGGGTAAGGAACTGACCAAGTGTTTGTTCAGTGCCTGAGCCGATTCAGTTTCTATCGGTGACAACTACTGCGAGGACCAAATGGAGAACAAATCATTGAATTTATGTCAAATTCTAGACTATATTGGAGACAGGAAATGTCTTGTAGAAAGTGAAGCCGTTTTGGATGCTGGACACATTGTATTTTGTGGATTAAACTTTAACAACATCGAAGTTCATGTTGTTGCTTTAGTGTTGCAATCTCAGATATTGGCATTTTAATGCATCTCAATTACAGGGAGAATACACGTGCAAAGTGGGGCTGTCTGGTTTTTGTAAACATGTGATAGCATGTTTATTACACATTAACAGGTGAGAAGTATTTAAATATTTTAAGCAGTATACACCATGTTCTAATATAAAAATATAGTTTTATTTATCATAATAGTTAAAATTAGTGCCAATCTGAAGGCTGTCCTGCTGAGTCATTCAGCACTTATCTATATATATAACCCATTCAACGGGTATCTGTCTGTTTGTCCCGCAACCGTTTGATAACGGACACTAGAGGCGCCCCTATCATGTGTCATATTTCAAACATTCAAATTAACAATTTTAATTCTTATTTAAATTAACAATATGAATTATTATTATACATTTGGCCAATAAATTATTATTTGGTCAATATAACAATATAAATAATTCAGTATATTTGTAATAGGAATTTATTATTTCAGGGGCTTATATCTCGCAAAGGGTCGGGAGTAGGGGTATGGTTCCTTTGACTTTATTGTTAGTACAGGGGTCTACGGTTTGGGGGGGTCGCCACCTCTTCATTCGGAGGGTAAATCTTACCATTCGGACTTTAACAGATCTGTAGAGCACATTGATAGGAACAAAAAAGTCAAAGGAACCGTGCCTCATGGAAATTTGTAAACAATGCCCACTAGGGGGCGTCCCGAGCTACTAGTACAACATAGGCTAGTCAAAAATTTGTAGAACACATTATGTTTTGTGTGTGTGTGTGTGTGTGTGTGTGTACGTCTCATATATCCAAAACGGCTTCATCTTCTACAAGACAATGTTTCCTGTTGCCAATATAGTCTAGAATTTGACATAAATTCAATGATTTGTTCTCCATTTGGTCCTCGCAGTAGTTGTCACCGATAGAAACTGAATCGGCTCAGGCACTGAACAAACACTTGGTCAGTTCCTTACCTGTTTCGGCAGCCTTCTTGGCTCAAAAATAAATTCAACCGATAGAAACTCTGTCAGATTTGGCACTTGCCAATAGCAAATGAGTCATTGCTATACTACAGAATGATAATTTCTGGGATATTAGAACTAAACTGTAAATGAGAAAAATTGATTTTGTACTTCTAAAATATATAACATCAAGTATGATCAGATTGTCGAAGAAATATCTTTGCTAAGTGGTTTAATAAATATGGAACATGTTAAAATGTTTTAATTAAATTACAGAAAAATTTTAAAGCATAATAATTTGTTTGAAAGCAAGAGTTAAAATAATGTCAAAATGCATCAAACTCTATAGTATAAATAACTTAGTACATCTATAGACTTGTAGGAAAAAAGTCAATTCTGAGGAAGATTACTTACTTAGTGCTTTCACAGTCATCAGCTGACTAAATGAAGAATTAAGTTATACAGTAAATAGAAAACCATTAATCACTAAGAAATTTTTAACACAATGACATTGTAGAAATAATTATGTGTAATTAGTAAATAGAATGCTGATACATCTTTAATATAAGCAGAAGTAATCTTGAAACAATTTCATCTTGACTGCTGACTCTTCTATTGTAGATACCAAATCATAACTAATGCAGTTTACAAAATCAAAAGGTTTCCTATTGTCCAGCTTTATATGAACAAATTATGTTGATTTTACAAGATTTTTCCTTAAAGTTTTAAATGCCAGTAATTTTTGTGGGACAATATGTGCATTTACGTTCATTTGATATTTTACTTGAGATTAAATGAAATAAAATTAGAATTGTAATAATAAATCTAATTTTCTTTATTTTGATCTTTAAAGTCACACCACGTACTATATGTGAGTAAATACGGTAATTCCTTTGCTATTATAAAACACAAGCATTGTCTTCACGTTTGACTTTCCAAAATAAAGTGATGAACTTGCTATCAGTGATTGTAGCAACTTCCATTCAGCAGTTTGATGTTTAGTTGAAAAATAGTAGCAATTAATTTCACTGTCTCGGATATGCTTTTCCAAAGTTTAAAATAGAATTTGATATTTATTCTCAGCTCTGTGATGCTTTTCTGACAACATTTTTACACTGTCCTAGCAAAATAGCGATGATTTCTTGCCATGCTAAGTATGGGATCACTATGTGATGCATATGTTTCTTGCTATATGGCATTTATGTATTGGTTAGTATAGCATCTATCTTATTATTTAATTGTCAGACTTTTTATATTGCCAACTTAAAATTTGTTTCTGATGTTGTGACTTTATGATATTGCATTTGATATAAATAAATTATCATGTTATATTGTTTTTCTCATCTATATATGGGATATCTGTAAATATTCTTTCCTGTTTTAATATATTATTGTTTAGTATTACTGCAAGGTACTTTTATGAAACACACATCAACTAAAAAATACAACTCAAAGTTGTATTGATATACACAAAGTAATTAGTCAAGATCAATGTGAGCACTATGTTTGAATGATAACATACTGATATTGAATCTTAGATATATGCATGTGGATTATACATGATCTGACTGGGGACACCTTAAGCATCCATAGTCTATAAAAGCTCAACAATTACAGCTTAGGGCCTTGGGCTTTTAAATTTACAATTACTTAGTCTGTGAATCAATCTTTCAAAATCAATTAGTGAAAAACCTTATAATAGAACATTTCATGATCAATTTTTTAGTGTGCACTCTGATGAATGTGCTTCTAAAGAATGCACACAATCTGGTGGCAAAAAACCTTTCAATTAATACTGCATACAAACTTTGAGGGTTTGCCTTTCATGTAATTTTTGTATCAGCAGCTACTTAAACTAAATGTGAGTAATAAAACATTAAAATTGCAAAAAATGTTTATGGACATGTAGTAGATGTATTGTGAATATTTATATTATGAATATTATGAAAATACAAAAAATATATTTATTAGTAATAGAGAGAAATCTAATGTTCTAATATAATTCTATTAGGATATGTATTATAAATTTGCATGCTTATTATCAATGCATTTTAATATTTTTTTATATAGGTAATTGCTACTGCAAGTAGTGAAGATGAAAAATTATATTTGGAAGGATTAGATGATCAGTTATCTTTAGTTATTGATTTAAGCAAAAAATGGATTAATAATAATGGCGGAAAGTGTGAAAATGGAAATAATGAACTGATATATTCTGCTTGCATGGAAGAATCGGGAGGATTGGGTGTAGATATCATTATTGATAGTGGAGTATCAATGTTTTTGGATGAAGAGGATAAGAAAACAGCTAATGATAACTATTTGTATCCAGTACCCAGCAAACATGAAGTCATTTCTGCATTAGCTGTTGGGGGACGTTGGATTACTTCCAAAGAAAATCTTCAGGTAATTATGGCTAACTTTATATTATCATTATTGATTTTATAATGAGAATCATAATGAAATCAATAATAAATTTATGAAATGTTATTTTATAAGCAAAAAAAATCTGTATTACATGTGGATTTATTCTGCTTCTGGAATAGGACTAATTTTTAATTCAATTATTTGATGTATGATGCCAAAATTTAAGATTAAAAAAGTTACTGAATAAATAAAATTTTATAAGATCTCTAAATTTCCTCCATCTATAAATGAAACTAGTAAGAATAGTCCATAGCCAAACATAAATTTATTTCTGTTATAAATTAGTAGTAGTAATTTTTGAAAACAATTAGGGAATGCAAAAACAAATACAGTAGAACCTCGAAAACTTGACCTAATGTGGACCGAAGGGTGGCCGAGTTTGTGAAAATGCCGAGTTATCGGGAATGGGGTTAAAAAAAATAAGTACGAGTATTTCCTCAGAAAATACTGTACTGTACTTGTACAGTATTTACTTGTACAGAATATAACAGAGAATAAACTGCCCAAATACCCTTAAACAAAGGAAAAGTACGTCCTTTATGAAGGCATAGAGCCACTACATGAAAATGAAAATTAATGAATACACTGTGTACAGTAATTTACCTGATAAGACAGACCTCA